ATACAGTGCAGACAATACATAATTGGTTACCGTAATAAAGCCCCCCAAATCTCCCCTCACTTAACTGTGATTCACTGTGCCGGAGCAGGGACGATTCAGCGGCACGCTGGTCCAGTGGGAGGAGCTCCAGGTGGGGTCCTAATTTAGCTGGCCTAGAGGTGCCTGCCCGATAATTGCAACCCCACCTGGAGCTCCTCTCGTCTGACAAGCGCGCCGCTGACACATCCCTGCTCCCCTGCTGTACTGGCGCTGCTGGATTTTTTTTTCTTACGGTAATTAATAAATTACTGTTTTGTACTTCATTTTGACTCTCCGACCCTGTTTACTAGCTGCATTTCGTTTTAACCTCCTGTGGTAAAACATACTTTTTGCACCAGCTGCCAGTTAAGCATGTGGAGTGGATCCTGACAATATTGTTAGGATCCTTTCAAGCTGTGGTGTGGCTCTGCGCTGTCAGCAGATAGCAGACATTAGCTTGCTATCTGCTGACTTTGGGTCACAGGGATACATTGGTAAATGTTGTTGTACTGTGACCCTAAAGAGAAACATAGCCAAAAAAGGTTTGGTTTTACTTTACTTAAAGTATTTAAAAATTTTAACAAGTGTTAAAAAAAACTTTAAACCTCACTGGTGGTCTGATTATCTTTAGTATTTTTTTCTTCCTTCAATTTTTTACTTTTAAAATTCCCACCGGTTCCGCCCCCCTGCGATGCGGGCCCTCACAATGGACGGAACACGGACGACAGATGCCGGCATCAGCCGGAGGACACAGCGGGGCTCGTATGGACAAGGTAAGTGACGCTACAGTGTAATCCCGAGTGTGGCTCGGGGTTATCGCTTTTGGTACTGAAGATTAACCCCGAGCCACACTCGGGATTACCGCCAGGAAGGTTAAAACAACCCTTCCTGACCTCTCTAGCTGCATGTACTGTGAAGTCATGCATTCTGAAATATCCTCAAAAATCACAACAAAGACCATCAAGTTTCAGTCCATTTCCAACAGCCTAGAAACACCTAGGCAAATTAGTGACACAATTGCATTAAAAACCGTCTGCGAAAGGTTTACAATGTATTTGCAACTCCTGAGCAGCTGATTGCTATAGATTTTCAAAGTTCTTATCACTAAAGATGAGGCAGATTTTTACTTTAAACAGAATTAATAAGTAAATCAATGAACAATCTTTCTCGCTGTTCAGCATCACCTTGCTGTGTGACAGATGATAATTGGTGCTTTGTGTACATTAGAATGCTGGCAGACTGCAAAGATTCTGCACACATGGAAAATAGCTGTAATTTTTAGTGCCCCTGTTCCACAGTTTTACTACTTGGAAATGCTATAGTCTGAGCATAGGCCCACTTTAAACTTGCACTCCAGGCAAAGAGCAAAATATTCAGTTGGAATATATATTAAAGCTGTTTTGCCTTTCAAATTTATATGTATTTCTGTCCAGCCATGGCTCTGTCAGGCAGTACAGCCCAACTGGTTACCTTACTTTTATCTATTGCAGTTAAGAAACGCAGCCCAGTAGTGACCTGCAGTGGCATCCGGTGTACTGGGATAAAACGCAGCATATTTGCATTCTTTTGCAGCACACCGCCTGCTGTGGTGTGAATGGAACACATAAAAAAAAAAAATGTGTTTTCTATGTGACCTTGTGGTGACATATGTTAATTTGGTGTGGTACAACACGGGTCACTGCAATATGTGTGAACGGATCCTAAAAGACAGCAAGGCCCAGTCTGGTCCATCAACTGACAGAGGAAGAAAGAGCCATTTTTGGCTTTCCTAAAGACACTTTAGCAGTTTATCAGGGAGATGCATCTGTCATCATTGCAAAGTTTTTATGATTGGTTATTTTCTGTTTTTTGCCTGGGCTTCAGTTTTAACCGTTTCATGTCCAAAGGTAATTGAAGCCTAAGTTCCCCGGCCAAAATTAGCAGCATCACCACGCTTAACTAAACTGTTTATCTCAAACTTGCTGTTATTTTAGGGACATACAAGGTTTTTATTTGGTACACTGTTGCAAAGAAAAACAGAAAAAAGTTTTTTTATTACAACCTGATGTATGGATTAAAATGTTACAAAAAAAAGCCATTAGCTTGCCATGTGATCAATATGTTATAGCTGACATATGATGTCAGCTATAACCACTCTGGTTGGTTGGTTCCCAAACGTTAGTACGTTTAGGTACAGCTGATTAAAAGTTGTGACAGCTGATAGTTATGTTATGTGAATGGGAACGTGTAACAAATATAAAGTATGTATTATCTCAGTTGAGTTGCAAAAGTGGAAATACACTTAAAAGAATAACTTTACATTTGTTAATGTTTGTTTTTTAATAAATTCCCTCCACCTCACTGAGTGCAGCCCATCTGGTAACATACTTACCTCCTCCAGTGATGTTCCCTGTGTTGCCTTGCCTGTCTGCCTTTTCCCGTGCTGACTGCCTCTAGCTAAAAAGCCATAGGTGTCTGTATTTACTAGCAGAGAGGTAGTTGGTGTATAACTGCTATGACTCATTTAGGCCCAATTCACACCTGGGCGTTTTGATGCGCGTTCCTACGCTCTGCAAAACGCTCAAACACCGAAATCCCATTATTTCCTATGGGTATGGTTCACACCTGGGCGTATTGCAGGCCGTATGAACGCGCTAAAAAACGCCCTACGCCCAAAGAAGTACAGGAGCTTCTTTGGGGCATTTTTGTCGCGCTTTTCCATTGGGATACAGCCAAGTAGCCCTCGGAAAATCACTCACCTCATAGTTCTCTAACTCCTGGGTTTAGTATCACTTTAAGAGTGCAGCATTGAAGTTAAAATCAGCAATATCTTTGGATAATGGAAATTATTTTTTAGGAAACCACTTTAGTGTCACTTTAATGCTTGGACCTTGCACAGGTTGGGCATGCCTGGGAATGCTTAGGCTTAGTGTATACTGCAGTAAGGGCTAATGGCAACTTGCAACATATCTGCCTATCCCAGTTACAGGCTTGCTGTTGTAGTACTGTTGGTGACATCAGAAATGTCATTCTACTACTTTCTGAAATGTGGGTGTTGGATATGGCTCAATGCTGGGTTGTTGTTTTGTTTTTTTACAGTAAGCTATATAAGATAGGTATTGATTTTGCCTTGCATTAACATGTGTTTAAACACGCGTTCCATTATGTTAAAAAAAAAATGAAGTAGAGCAGGCTTAAAAATGTTATTTTTTTTGCAGGGCAGTGGGCATCAACGCAGTGTGCTGGTGTGAACTGCTCCCATTCACACCCATTAATTTTCAGTTGGCTTGCATTGACAAATGGATGCCAACACATCTGGTGTGAATGAGGCCTTGGTCTCTAAGATGCACCATGACTGGACTTGTCATGACCCAATAGAATGGTGTCTCTTTATTGTTTCATCAATATTAAGGTTGTCTTGTCACAACAGCAATGTACACTCTCAAATACCTGTTGGCTATGCTGCGCACATAAAAGAAACCTACAAAAACATCAAACTGTTGTTAAAGCACATCTAGTACTCCAAGTACAACTGGGTTATCTGTGGAGATCTAAAAGTAGTGGCGCTGCTGTTTGGAATGCAGCTTGGATATACCAAGTGCTGCTGTTTTATCTGCGAATGGGACAAGCGTGCCAAACAGTTGTATTGCAGTAAATGGGAATGGCCATTTTGAAAGAATGTGGCTCCAGGACATACAAATGTGGCACATAAACCACTTATTGACCCAACAAACCTAATGTGGCCTTCGCTTCACATAAAACTTGGATGATGAAACATTTTTTGAAAGCGATGAACAAACAAAGGGAAGGTGTTTGTTATTTGATACAGATGTTTCCAAGGATAATGGATACCCAGATTAAAGTGACATTAAAGTAAAAAAAAATGTTTCCCTCCCCCCCATGTTAATGTTAGCACTTAAATGATGTCTCTTATTCCGATCATCTTCTTTCCTGATGTTTTCATCTGTCCCTCCAGTGGTGCGGCGGCTCTCCGATGCAGCGCTGACTGCTCTGTCCCTCCGATGCAGCGCTGACTGCTCTGTCCTTCCGATCCAGCGGTGCCTGCATGCGGGTGCACGCGTCCATAGACTTACCTTGCGTCTCTGCTCGTCTCCCTGCCGAGAATCGGAACTGCGCATGTGCCCGCCCCAAGATCCTTTGCGGCCGTACGTGGAGTACCTGATTCTCGGCGCGGGAGCGCGCAGCTATAACGAGGTAAGTTTTAACCTAGTTAAAGCGTTTTGTTTTTTTTTGTTTAAACTTCTTGCCTATATCTACTGCTTGCTAGCAGTAGATATAGGCAAAAAAACCGGAGGGTTTAGAACCCCTTTAAGGAAGGTATTTTTGTTGGTCCACAGATCACATACGCCATCAATGACAATCGGTTTGAAGATCTGTTAGTAGGGTCAGAGAGAGTCGCCTGGAAAGCATTCAAGGATGTCTTGAGAATTTTCTTGGCAACTACAGAGCACCAAACTGCATTCCGCTAATTGACAAACTTATAACAGTATATAAGACCGTGAAGTGCAGCACTGAAGATTCACTTTCTGCATTCACACTTGGACTTTTTCCTGAAAATCTAGGTACAGTCGTTGATGAACATGACGAATGGTTTCACCAGGACATTGCCAAAATTGAAAAACGAAATTGGGACAACTGGAATCCATCAGTGTTGGCTGACTCTCGTTGACACTGCAATGAGATTCACTGGGCACAGAGTACAAACACAAATCAGCAGCAAAAAACTTTTAATCCTCCTTGAATTTGTATTACATATGGGAAAATATTATATACGTTATAAATTAACATTATGTGATTTTAAACATGTTATAGTGATTAAACATTAATTTCATGCTTCTCAAGATTCCTACGTGTTAGTCATTCTGAAATTATATTTGTGTTCAGCTTGACATGATTTTTCTTTTGTGCTGTGTAATTACTAATTCACATACAATGACTATATTAATAATTTTTTGTGACTTATTTATTTTTATTGTCTACAGGCAACATGGGCTTGCACTCCACTAAAAGGTGATATTGTAAATCTAGAAAGTAGCAACATAGATGAACTTTTAGGTAAGTGTTGCTCTTTGTAACATAAAATCCTTGCTTGTGCCTAATGGGTGGGCAGGGGTTGGTTTAGGGAGTTACTTGTCCCTGCAGTCTCAGCTTCTTAGGCCCCTTCCACACCAGCTGATCAGGAGAGGATCCATGCACACATCCTCCCCTGATCACACCAGTACGGAGTGGATGTCACTACTGTGACATCTGTGTCCATACGTTTTTTTCTGCAATTACCGTACCCAATGTCTGTCTGGGGAATCGGATGTAAACAGACATGTCCGTTTTCATCAGATTACCCCCGATCTGGCTCGATCAGGTCTGTGAAGCGAATCCCTAATTCATTTGTTTTTCCGGACCTAGCCGGATTCGGGGATAACTGGGTGTAAATGTACCCCTGTGACATCCGTGAGCTTCCCATCACAGTTGACCGCTTTACACGTCTTCTGGGTTCGGTGTCTTTGGCCATCTTGATTGGCCAGCCTCAAAACTTAAGAATACTATTTTTTGGTCCTTATTGATGCAATGCGCTTGTGTCTAGACCTGAAACAAACATTTGTTGCTATATTTAAAGTTACTGCTTGGGGTCCCCTCCCAACCTGTTAAAACCTTTCCTGTATGCTCACTATTGCAACCTGCTTTATATAGTGACTGGCCTAATTCAGAAAAATCTTTACTTTTCCTAAGCACTTTAAACAGCAATGGCCTATTTAAAAAAGGGTCCCTTAAAAAGTGGGCTGTACCTGAAGTTGATCTGGCCGTTTTATTGGCTTTCTGGCTCAACAGCAAAACTAAGCAAGTTGTCTCCAGGTCCAGGGATACTATAGCCTTTGTAATGTGTGCTCAGGTGACTACTTGGGATGAGTTCAACCTTATCTTTGCCTCTGAAACTCTTGATCTACCTACCCAATCCCTTTCAGCCACTACTTCTTCTTTCAGAAAGACACTTTTTTTTTTTCTTTTTTTTTAAATTGTAAGAACGAATGAGCCCCAGAAGGTCACCCCAGCATCTCATTCCATCATTCCACCATTTCGAGGTGGCTTAGCCAGACCATAATTCAAGCTTCATGATCACAAGGATTGGGTTCCCACCTCTTAGGGCTGTTCCACTAGATCTGTAAATGCCTTTGGGCTTTTCGCAGTCAGACAACTTGTTTCTTAGATTTGTAAGGCTGCAACGTGGTCTTCTAATCACGTGTTCTAAAAGGTGGACATTTATTTCTCCATCTCTTGCCAGCTTTGGGTTTAAAGTCCTTCATGTGTTAGGTCCCCCTTTTGATCTGTAGGTAGTCCCCAGTTTAATTCCCTTGTGTTTTTTCTTTCAAGACACTGCTAATACAGAAAAATACCTGTAGATCTGCCAGAAATGCACTCGGCCCTTAATTTCCTATGTAGGCTGAGAAAACATAGCAATTTTGTGCTGTCCCTCTGCCCTAGCTAAACTACCCAATCCATCCCACTGTCTTTGCCTTCAAAGCATAGGATCTAATTCACTTGTAGCTCCAAGATAAGAACTGGAAGGGCTAAATAGTCTCTTTGAGTTAATACAGGAAGTATGCACTTGAGAGCTCTAAATATCTGACAAGATCAAGAGTTGTGTTTGCACTTACAAAACTTAAATAACAAAATGCTTTCAAGGGTAACATGCCAAGACATAGCAAATAAATTAATTGTTGGGTTTACATACTTTTGAAGGAATGCACTCCTTTTGCCCTCACTGTTCTGTAAAATTGTGTGTGTTTGTATACCTCCTTGATGTGTTACTTTTTAAGAATTTAAAAATGGGAAAAAATGTGAGCTTCTGCATATTTATTTTGGTGTTAAAAAAAATAAATAACTAATTGTTTCCCCTTGTTTTTTTTCAGGTAATGCAGATGTTGCTTTAGTTAATTTTTATGCGGATTGGTATGTATATATTCTCAAACTATTTTTTATACCATTGTATTTCTGTAATTTTTGGGGATTTGATGATATTGAAAATCTATGCAAAAGCATATATGCAAAATTGTCCCACCAATATCTTTTGTAAATTATGATTCATGCTTCCAGTGTTCCCAACATTGGCATGCATTTCTTCATATAAATGTTTTCATTATGACTTTCTCCTTTTACCCATCTCATGGTATAGCTTGTAGTAGGAAGTCCAATTTCACTGTGCTTGTTCTGTAATGTTAGACATTTTGCTGCATGTCTAAGCAACTTCTTCAGTTATATTAGTTTTAAGAACATATTTCAGCATTTTTAGCTACACAGGTAGCTACCTTTCTAATCTGATCATTATGGAATGCGTACCGAAAGGCAGATGTTGATTGTTTTGTCTTAAGAAGATAGTGGGAGGTGTGAAGTTTGTTTTAATTAATCAAATACCATGGTGACTTGACATCGGAGTGTTAATCGCTTGTTACATGGCTGAAGATGTTGTTAAAACGGCATGATATGTAGATGACAGGCCCCCACTGTTTAGGCATTGTTGTTTGTGTAAATGGCCTGTTCCACACCTCTTGTGAGCCAGTTCAAAATGTGCACCGTGTTGTTGTTGTTTTTTTTTTTCTTTTAGGTGTAGTAAGGCGGCTAAGTCCTGACCAGCAGAGTTGGGCCATCTTGTTTGTTGAGAGTTTGTGTCCCCAGTATACAGCTGTTTGTATTCCTCACTACACAGATCTGCATATACCAATTACTTTGCTTGTTTTTGGGTGTTGGGTCACCGATCCCCGAAGGGATTCCCCCCCTCCCTGCTCCGATCCTCCTGCACTGACATGGAGGAATGGAGGGGGTGGGGACAGCTGGCTCTGCCTCTAGATGGGCAGAGCCAGCTTTCATTCACGCAGCTGGGTGGATCTTGACAGCATTGTCCGGATCCATCCTGGCTGCAGCGCTCTCAGTATATCGCGGGCAATAGCCCACGATATACTGAGCTTTAGGTCACGGGAGGACGCTCATATATGTCCTCTCGTGACCTTTAAGAGAACTATGGGATAAAAAGGTTACCCCATAGTTCTCATTTAAACAGGGTGGTTTCACAAACTTTCACGTCTCCCTTCTTGGACAATCAATTAGAACTGAAGAGGCTATTTGAACAAGTAGAAAAATGTCTTTAACATTAAAGAACAAGTTCAGTTGAATGTAGCTAACTACTACTAGCGTTACATTAATAATTCAACTTTTGACATCAAGTGCAGGTTGATGATTTGATCTGAGGAAACATCATACAAGGAATACATTTTTTTTTAAAATGATTCTGTTGTGAAAGAAAATACATTTCTGGAACTTGGTTATGTTTTGCTACTTGTGTGCAATGCAGTCTTGTATATATAATTTACAATGAATGCCCAGTTTAAGGGCTTGTTCACGCTATGTAGCTGTTGTAGCAAGTGCATACACAATTTTCTGGCACTGCGCCACAACACGTTAGTGCATTGACTTGGGCTGCGCTGCAACTCCTATTGGTCTGCAAGGTGCGTAGGGTTGCCATTCAGAACAAATAGCATTGCATCTTACCAACGCACATATTGTGCATTTTGCAGCATTGCTTTAACAGGTGCGTTACTGTAGCACATAGTGAGCCGGCCCTGAGTCACACTTTTTTCTTTCGCTTCATAATATCGTACAGCTTTATTGTTATGACTTTTAACTGATTTTTTTCACAAGACAATACCCCAAAATGCCTTCCCCC